GAAGGAAAAGTGGTGAATTTGTAGTCCAAGGATCACCTCAATTTGCATGCTAACTAATTGCCAAAGTTGCAAGTGATTGAATTAATTTATCTATTTTAAAAAGAAATCTGGTGAACAAGCTTTCTATGCCACATAAATAACTTTTAATTAGAGAAAGTCTCAGCACTGAAACACCAAATTATGTATTAAAGAAAGAGATAAGCACTGAACCTGACATTCAACCTTACTGAAATGCTTTACAAGATACTGCAGCACCAAAAATATTATGGAACGGACTGGAGGAGAGAAATTATCTTTTCCAAAATCATGTGTTTTCATTAAGTGCATGATTCTGCCCTTTTATAGTAGACAGGATCTTTGTCAGTACATTCAAGACATATCAGCTAAAAGTATTTTCTGAGGAACATTTTCAAATCCTAACTTCTTATGGAAAAGATGTTTATAATTCAGCTATTTGACAAGTTCAAAATGCATTTCTGTGCTTTCTCCTGCTTTGTCAAAAGTAACTCACCCTTCTTGTTCTGCAATGGAGATGAGTGTATTTTTAAGCATTATCAAGACCACCCTGAAGCTCCTTCAGAAGTTACTACTTAACGCTGACTATAAGCAAATGTTTATGTGCATCTTTCGAAGCTACACATTAAGACGAAAATTACAGCCATTACAGCTCTAATTCTGAAGTGTCATTTCACAGCTAAGGACAATAACCTTTCACCAAAACTTTCTGAGGGATTATGTACTGAATATTTCTCAGATTCTGCAAACTTTCAAAACTCCTTCAAGTGGACTGTTTTTCAAATTCTCATCTTCATTTGCAGTTCTTGTGTATTAAAAGATGTACATGGGTGATAATGTCATAAAAAGGATAACAACAAAAGCAAGAACAATAGTTAAAGATGAACCTGTGCTTGGAGATCATCTACCATGTCCAGTTCTGGTTTCTATAATTCAAAAAACACATGAACAGACTGGATAGGGTCCAAAGGAGGGCCACAGAGCTGTTCAAAGGGCTGGAGAACCTGCCCTGTGGAGGAAGATGGAAGGAGATAGTTCTTTTCATCCTGAAGAAGAGACGGCTCAGTCTTCAGAGAGACTCATCAGACTCTGAATAGTTAAAGGAAGCTACAGAGAGGATGGGAGTGTCTTCACAGAGGCACCCCAAGGAGAGGAGGTCAGCAGGTACAAGTTGCATAAGAAGAGGTTTCTTTCATCTCCACGCAACAAAGACATTTTTTACAGTGAGAATGACCACAAGCTGTAATAGCCTCTGCAGGGGTGTGGTTGAGCCCCAGCACTCAGGGGTTTCAAGCTGTGATGAGGCCAGGGGATGCATAATTCATCAAGGCTACCTGGTTGGACCTGGTGACCTTTCAAGGTCACCAGCCAGGGCTTGCTGAGTGACTAGAGAAGGACCAGGAGCTGGTGTGTCCCTGCTGGTGTTTAATGTGGTCATCAGACCACTGGAGAGGTCACAGAACCAAGACAGGGCCACCCAGGGCCACCCAAGGCTCCTCGTACTGAGAGGTGTGATACTTACAGAAGGCTGTTGCTTTCCCAGTGGGCTCTGTGGGAGGACAGAGGATAGACAATAGCACTATAAAGATTTATTTTCTCTTCAAAGCTGGCTGAACTTTTTCTGTTGTTTTTCTATGTGGAAACAAAGTTTGTGAGAGAACTCATGAAACCTGCTTTCTCCAGCTGAGTGCAGGGTTAGCTCAGCACCAACTCAGCATGGAAACTGCCTCTCCTGTCATTCCCATGCTGCAGCTCTGGGAGAAGCCTGCTCTCCTGTCCTATCAAGCCAAGGCCCACATTAAGATGATGCATTTGTGTGTAAGCATCTGAAATCTGTCAGGTCACAGCTCAGTCCCAAACGCCCTCAGGCTTCTCTCAACTCTCCAGCTGCTTTCTTGAGTGGCTGAATAATCAAACACCAGCTGAAAATCCCAAACTTTCATGAATCTTTACACATAGAAATACTGCAGCTGATTGGGGTAGGGTGTGATAAATTGGTAAGGGTCATAAGTGGGCTGCAAATCTTCAGAGACACAGAAATCTGATCACCTCCAATACAGAGAAACAGAACTGAAGCCTCCCTCCTGAAGCTCAGCTCTTTATAATTTTAGACACATTAAAATGAAATTAAGTGATCTATTTTTGTGTAGCTGTCTTACAGAGTAGCTAGCTGTCTTTAGCTGTCTTACGGCTACATCTGTGTTTCAGGCTGGCCAGTTAGGGAAGCAGTGATGCACTGTTATGCTATTGCAATGCTATGTCAGGTGACCCCACAGCATCAAATCCATTGTTATGTTTAGCAGCACACTTTGGTTTAGCTGCTCATCTTGCTGCTTCCTACCTTGAAAGCAATTTCATGTAATGCACTGTTGTGTTCTCCTCCTGAAGGAGTTTGTCTGAAAGGACTGCTGTGGCACAAGAAACAGTCTACTTCCATACTCTGCCACTGGGATTTGAAAAGGAATGGCAGCAAATGTGCTTTCCTCTCTGGTCCAGGTAGCTGGTAAGATTATATACTTCTATTATGAAGGAATAAAAGTCTATTTAGGATAACAAAATAAGCAGAAATGTGAAGAAAAGTATCTGCATTTGCCATGTTGTAAACCCAAAAACTTGTAAGATTTTTCTTATTTTCTGCTACTTTTGCATTTTACAAACCTGAAAACAAGCATGCATACAGCTACATATACACACAGGCAGGCACACTGCTTAAAACTATGTCCTTGTTAATCTAGTTAATCTTACTCTTGAATTTTGCAAACATACATAGACATTCAAAAGCACATGACTGTCAGTAACAGGTCTGTTCTCATTTTTTCTGCTTGTAACAGCCTTTTGGAAAGGAAGACTGGTACTTAGACTGCTTTTGGAGTGTCATTTTTCATCATTTCCCTATGAAGAACAATTTCAATCTGACTGTCAGATTGAAACAAGTCAAGAGGAGACCACAGCCCTGTGCTCAGAGGAGAGGATGCTCTGAGAGGATGGGTGATGTATTGGGGTGCTGCTGGAGCTGGAGTGACCCACATCCAGCACACCCTCGAGCCTTTGCATAGAGGTTCATTGGGTTGGAGGCAGCTGCCCGAGAGCTGCTTGTGAGGATAAGGATAAAGCCCTACAGACTGTTACAGCCCCTGCACAGCAAAGCACCTCTGCTGGCCTGTGCCATCTGCAGCCTTGACAGACATGGGCCTGCAGATGCAGAGGCTGAAGAAGCTGTAAGGGGCTCCCAGACAGCCTCCTGTGAGCCCAAGAGAGATCATCTCTCATTTTCATTGTTCTGATTCTTTATAATGCACTGAAAACTCTTCTTCTACATAGACCAACATAGTTGCACACACCTGTGTCTTCAGCAAACTCTTTGGTTCCTGATTTCTGAAGAAAAATTAATTAAGGATAATTTCCCCATTTCTCTTCTGAGGATTTTGTGGGAAATCCTATCCTAGGCACAGGGAAGGACTGAACTCCACTGCATTTCATCTGAACATAAACTGGGGAAGCTAGAGAAAGGAGATGTTTATCTGGGTGTGTTGCTATTCCTGCAGCTGTAGCTGCCAATACAAACTGCTCAGAGCTCCTGGTAAGGGCAGGTGTATCTCCTGATGAATGGACAGAGTGTAGGAAACAGGCAGCTCTGAGGGTCATGGTGCTGCTCCATCCTTTTCTCTATATATAATTATATAGATCTATTGGGATCTATATAATTATCCACCAGGCTTCAAATGCTCTGTGGGAGGAGGGAGTGGCAAGCTGGGCTGGCTGAACTCTCTCCTTGCCTTCCAGCCTGAGTGACCACCAGCTCAGAGACAGCCACTGAGCTGAGCTGCTGAAAGGAAGGAGCTGTTGTGCTCCTGCACTGAAAACTCAGCACAGCACCCACGTGCTTCCTTGTTAGTGTTTGGCTGCCATAAAACCCAGGGCATGGACCCCAGCTGGCACCTTCATGGCATGGCAATATCTCAAGAATAATTCTATTCTATTAATGCCTGAGTAGTGTATATTATTATTGTTATTATCAACTTTATTATTACATATTATTATAACTAGTAACAGTAAAATTATCTCCCCCCAACTAATTTAAATTAGACAATTTAGAGGACGTTTAACACCTTATCACCAAAAAAAAGACCTTAAATAACAACTTTGGCATTCATTTAAGATATCTGCTTCTGAAAAAAACGGGAGATAAAAGGTGTAATCAGTTTATTTGTTTTCCCCTACAGCACAATCTCAAACTACCAGCTTTCTCAGAAGGCTGCACAATGGTGGGCAAAATGGGAGCAAGACAATTGCAGACACAGGGCAAAGACAACCTCACTCCCAGCTGAGAAGAGCTGGGTTTGGTGGTGGTGCAGATGCATTCAGGGATCTCTGATAATTTCATTTCTTCTGTGTTTCATTTTTCATAATTTAGGAAGTTAGGATCTGTCTTACCTTTATCATTTTCCTACTCCAAGCAAGTCAAGACTAGACCCTACCTCTAAGAAAAAACTCTGGGGACAAATTTTAAGAGTAACACCTGCCCCCCTCCCCCCCCCAGTAATTCAGTGATGATGGTTTCTTACAGAAAGGCTTGCACATTATTCTTTTTGTCTTTTAAAATTCAGAGCAATCCCAAGACACCCTCCTCTATTAGCAGTGATATATTCCCAATATCCTCACTAGCGAGCTTTGGGAGAAACAAAGCAAAAAAACCTTCAGGAGATATAAGATGGAGAAGAAGGGAGAATACAGCAGAAGCTCCAACCAAAAAGCAAAGAATAGCAATGATTCAACTTAGGCTAAAAATATCTTCATTTCTAGTGACAGGATCCAGATGTGGAACAAATGCCAGTTCATGTCACTCAGCTCTGACCCAAGCACATGCAGTAAAGAGTGCAAGCAAAGAAATGGCAATTAAGCAGAGATATAAAACTGACTCATGGCTTCAGCAAGCAGCAGCATTTCAGTTCCCACAGCAAAGCAAGCCATCTAGCTGGGCTCACCCTTCATAAAACAGGCCAATGCTTTTTATATCCAAAAGCTTTAATAGCTCGTGAATGTCAGACATCCTTTGCCAGAAATTAATCTCTGCTTTGCAAAGTCCTTTCAGCTCTCCATGTCAGCTCTGAGCTCCTGAACTCACTGCAGGTTTCCTGATTTGTTTTTGGCAGAGGGCAGAGCTGCAGAGCTGACAGCATTTCTGGCTGGCTGCCCCAGTGCTCTGCCACCCCACTCAAAGGAGCTCTGGGGAGGATAATTTGAGAGGGTAGAAGAGCAAGGGGAAATTTCTTTTCTTGGAAATAGCTTTGCTGACTTGCAGCTTCCCTATGCTGGTGGTGGTATTTGCAACACATCCATGGACCTGATGGCTATGGGTCACAATTATGGTGGGTCCTAATTGCAGGTTGCACATCCCATTAGGAAAGATGAAGGCAGGGAAGGAATATAGCCTTGCTAAACTCATCCTTGGAAAGGCATTATAAGTGAAATGAAAATGCTTTGGCTTCATAACACTGCTGCAAATCCTCCCACCTGAGCTGTCTGCCCTGGCAGACATCTAACTCTAACTCAGCCATTTTAATAGAGCTTTGCTTTAGCCACTGTGCCATGATACTGGGACAGAAAATTTGGAACAGAAGTTGACTCAGACTACAGTGAAGGAGAGAGAGAGCCCAGTGTAATGGAAAAGCTCTGTTTGATCCTTCCTCCCCATTCTCTAGGGAAAAAGCGTGAGCTTTTTATGTGAACTTAGGCTGTGTCTCTGAACACATAAGGCTGAGAATAAACAGCGAGGAGAAGGCTGCCCTTTTCCAGTGCAGATCTGGGAAATAGAGGACTTTTTTTCTGACTTCCTTTACCTCTTGGAGAAAAACTTCTGAGGCTGGAGGATGATCAAAGGAACAAAGGAACACACAGCTCCTTTTCTACAAGTCATGTTGGGAGGTGACCTCTGGTACCCTAAACCAGAAACCGGACTCAGCTGAATCACAGGATGACAACTGCAGCTGTGGCACCCAAACTCCTTTGCATGGACACATTTTGGAGGCCTGACATTTTGGAGCCTGAAAACTTTAGGGACAAAAATATGGACAAAAGAGAATTAAACCTCTTTGGAGATACTTAACACCATTTCTTGGTCCTTTTGGATACTTTCCTTTTGTTTGTGACCTTTTTGAGGCTTACAGCATCCTGGGGTAAAGGGGCGTCCTTGTGCTTATGGAAGAAAGGCCTAGAAAGGTGAATGGGGAGAAAGCAGGTGCTCAGTGTAGCCCAGTGCCTCACAGACTAAGGGTGATGGCCACATTTGTTATCAAGGAGGCCGGGCTGTCACAGGTGTGTCCATGAGTCCAGCTCACTCATGCTGCTGTTCAAATCATATTAAATTGTCAACCTGTGAGCAGAATGATGCCAACAAAAGCTTGGGATAGCCAACAAAATCAACCTGTGTTACCAGGGAATTATTCTGGCACATCACTTGCTTGTTGGACAGGTTACCTCTTATTTGAGTGCTGTAAAGGCTTGATGTATCCCAGCTTAACAGAACCTTCCATGTACAAGGAATTTCTTTGGAGCTGGCCGTGCTCATCCAGAATACAAGACAGAAACATAATTTTTCAATTTGTTCCAGGGGTGAAGAAAACCAAAACTACCAGAAGAGAAGCCCTAGGCAGCACAGTCCTGCTGCCCCATGCCCCTGCTCTTGCAGGAAGCTGGTGAGTCAAACCAAGCACGTAACCAAGGAGCTCTCACAGACAACTTTATTGCAGAGGTCAGACTGACTGATTTCTCTCTTCTCTACCTCTCTGAAACTTACTGGCACTTACTAAATTTCAGGCTCCTTATCTTTGTCAAAGATGATGAAAAAGGTGGATTTTAGAAGTATTTGGAGGAAATAACTCATTGACAGAAATGCAGTTCCATAAACTTTGTGATATTTGACATAAGGCTTAAAAAATCCTGTCTCCTAACTTATTATTACCAAGGTCACTCCAAAACAAGATCAAAAAATAAAGATAAAGCAAAAGAGTCTGAAGACGTTGTTAGGTGTTTCCCTCTGTATTTCAAGTGACCAAAATCTGTCCAGTTTACAAGAAAATGTATTTATTAGGACATTTAGGCTGCACTCCCAAGAGCAGACAAAGCATGGTTCTGTCTGGTGATGAAAACTATGAGTAACATTGAAAAATGCATTAATTCTCCACCCAGATTGTTAAAATTTAGCTGCCCTAAACAGTAGCAGCCAAACATGCATTTGATAATGGTGATTCTTTCATACAAGAACTATAACTAAGCTCTTCGTAGGCCTTTTGATCTCACAATAAATCATCTTCCTATTTACAGACTTTTGAGTGTTTATTTATTAATTGTGAGCCACAAGAGTAATGAATGCTATACTTCAACATACTTTCAATGTACCTACACAATGTCCCTGGTGCATAAGAGTGCTAGAAAACACCTGTTTCCTCATCAAATTAAACCTGATTTTATTTCTGTGTCACAAGGACTGCACTTAATTGTTCAGTCCTTTAGAATATATAAACAACTACTGTAAATACCTTCCAAAGTGAATGACCCAAAAATCAAGCAATTTGACACCCTGCTAAAACCTCCAGTATTATCCAAGTTCCTCTGTTTAGCTTCTCCCCAATCCCTATTGAAAATTTCATGGTGTATGTAGGCCCTCCAGAAATAAAATAATTGTCAGAGTCAAGGAAACCTGGAAATTGGTCCCATGCCTCCTCCATTGTTGAAGCTGCAGTATGTGAGAAGGTGAACTTGGTAAGCTGACCTCCTTCTTCATTGTTATTAAATGACATCTGTACAGTTTGGCCACTGTTTCTCTACAGAGCACTGTAGCCTTTCCCTTACAGCACTAATGAAAACGAAAATTTAGTATTAGCTGTGTGGCTGTTTTGAAGACCTGGTTCCATCCCAAGGAATCCTCTATTCCATCCAGAGTAGCTGTTTGAAATGCTTATATGGCATATGCTCATGTCCTGGAACACTCTGACCACTGCTTTGGCAAGCAAAGTATATCAGCCCATTTTCTGTCAGAAAAAAGGCAATAATGGTGGGAAACAGCAGAAGGAAAGGACAGAGAAGGCCTCACTGATTATACTTGTGGTCAGCACTGAAACATTTCCAGCTCCCCAGCTCTCCCTAGGCCAACAGGCTTAACGTTGTGCCAACCCCTAAGACTGCAGAACCTGAAGGGTGTTAAAGCTGCCATCCAGATTTTCAGCCCCAAAACTCTCTGCCTGACTTTTAAAAGCTTGGCATGGAGGAAGTGCTTTGCTGCCTGTCAGGCTGAAATGTAGAGGAGACAGCAATGCTGTGCTCAGCCCAGGAGCCTTAGTTCTCTGTGATGGCCTGTGATCCAGCTGTCTGCCTATGAATGAAAACATCAAAAACCTTTTCACCAGGCTAAAAAAGAAGCTAATTTTACTGGAAAAAAAAATATACATACATACATACATATAAATATACACATACATACACACACAAGTAGACAAGAATGTAGGCCAATAGTATTAACAATTACTAACTGAGGTCTTTGACACAGTATCATGGGGGAAGAGGTGGAAGCTCAGCTCAGTCCATTAATCCACCCAGGCAGAGTACTCATGGCTGCAATATTGAATTAGCTTTTTCTGTGACCTAGATAAACTGGGGAAGAAACATTTCAGGCCAGGAAAATTACTGTTAGGATTTAGCAGTGCCAGATCATCCAAGAACAACTTTATTTTCAACTTAATAAGAAAATTCTGCACTCATTTGGTACATTTCATCTTTTTGGCTTCAAAATATTTTTCGAAGTCAGCAACTGCTGGGATAACTTCACTCTTGACTGAACTCAGGTGATGCGTTGTATAGCAACATAAAAACAGGATAAAGTCAGCAACTGCTGGGATAACTTTGGCTCAGTGAAGGGAACACTTCACTCATGACTGAACTCAGGTGATGCGTTGTATAGCAACATAAAAACAGGATACCATAAGGTGTGTTCTCTCTCTTCCTACCCAGAAGCACAGAGGGGTACTACATTGTTGGGACGGAGCCACTCAAACTAGATGCCAGCCACAACACATTCTCATGGTGAGCACACACAATTTTTAATCCTTTTTTTCATCAGACATTTAGGTAGGACATACAGCAAGCAAGAAACTACCAGGTCAGCTTCACCCCATTCAGGGCTTGAAGCCTCCATCTCTGAAAAGTCATCTCTGGACGATCCAGAAGTTGAAGAGCTGTCCCCAGGGTTTTCATGAATGATTTACCCTGAAAAATTGTTTCCTTCAATGTCCTTTTAGGTATTGATTAACCTGTGACCTGAAACTATGTACTAGAAATCTACTGCACAACTGCTTTTGCTCTGTCTATTCTGGTTGCATGTACTGCTGTTATCAAGATAATTGTCTCATCTTTTCCTAGCTCCTGTTCAGTCATTTAAGATAATCAAGCCCCGTGCCTTGGGAGATCTGGTCTATTCGTCTGCAGAAAGCTTCACTGCAGAAAAAAGTAAAATTTGGATTTCTACATATTCCCCCAACATATGCTGTCAATATTTCTTTATTATGAGGGGAACAAGAAGTCCAATCTATAGAAATTTTGATAAAGCATTTCTATTCATAGGATCAAGGATTTCAGTCTTTAGGCTGTATACTTGACATCTGTTCCTAAATGTTTGTGTGTCCCTCAAGTCTGATTGCTTTGGCATCTGTACTGCATGTAAACTTAGAGCACTGCAGAATGTGCTGGACTTCCTACAGCTGTACAGATCTTTGCTGTTCATTTCATGTCAGCCATCTGCTCAGACCTCACTTTTCTCCCACATGCAGCCTGGATGAAATCACAATTGACAGAATCAATACCTGTGGCAAAAAACCAGAGTGCAGCCACGTGTGTCCCTTTTCAGGGCGGCCCAGCCGAGCCCGATGGCACCCGAGCTGCAGTGCTGAAAGTGCACACTCTCTGATCCGCTGTGACAGAGATCGTGTGCCTTAGAAGGCCTTGGTTAGCTCTGGCAGAAGAGATAAAAGGCAGACTCTGACTCCTGGAGGAACTGAGTTTATTGAGGGATAGACAGTTGGAGGAGCGAGGATGTCCTGAAGACAAAGTTAACAAGGCTACAGTCACTTTTAA